TAACCAATAATCTATCTAGAATATTCATCATAAGTTAAAACTTTCCATAAATGGAACATTTTCCTTTTGAAAAATACGTAAAATGAACTAATTCACGCGACACTTTCCATAACAGTTATTTGGGTGTTATATATATCCCCATTTTCTCATATACATTGTTAAAAATAAACAACAAAGTAACCTTTCTCCCCAACTGTTTCTTTGGCTTTATAAAAATATTGTCCAGAAAAATTACGTTCACTCGCTTGATGTAATGATTGTATACTGAATAAACTATTGTATTTTTTGATTATTTTTGACTCGGTATGCTCGCGTATCTCGGTTGCGTGTATGCTTAGTACACCAGATGCAATTAGATTTTATTCTCTCATATTGCATGCTGCTAATGTCTCGAAAATGTATATTAACGGATGAAAAGACGCCTTTGACAGACAATTGTTGTCATTTAAAATAAAACCTATAAATAAATTAATCTTTATTTTAATAATACATATTCAATGTTGTATGTTTCCATAAGTTTATTAGGTTGAAAAAAGAAATAACTGTCTAGAATGTAACGCGTATATATATATATATATATGCTCTCTTTCCTTATTTTTTTTTTACTTTTCCTTTTGTGTTCTTGACAGAGAAAAAAAAAAATGTCTCATGTTGTTGATATCTCTAGGTTAGATTATTACACCACCGGCGGTGAAGTTCGTCTGTAAGTTGTTCGACTCTGGAAGAATGTAAATTTCTTTGGTGATACAATTGAGATGATTCTCGCTGATGATCGGGTATTTCGTTATGTAGTTGTTATTTCTTTACATATTTCATAGGGTTGTTTCTAAAAGCAATTTTTCTTTTGGATTTTACACTTGAACTTATGCGAAATCGTCGATCTTAGGGTCATCGTATCGGCGCAACTGTCATGCCCGATGAAATCGCTCTGCATGGACCTGTACTTAAACAAGGTTACTGGTTTAGGGTTTGTCGATTCGTTGTTAAAAAGGCCAGTGGTTCGATATGCATAACCGTAAACAGGCATCGATTTATTTTCGGATCTCATACGGTCGTGATTCCTATCTCTCCAGTAACCCATAATTTACACTTGCATCTCAATTGCACACGCTTTTTTGACATCGTGACTCGCAGATTAGATTTTGAGTTTTTAATTGGTAATATTGGTAACCATCTGTTAGTTTTGTGACAATTTTAGTGTAATGTATCGTTTTGTTAATATCACTTTTTTTTTGTATTCGATATAGATGTAATGGGAACCGTGTTGAAGATGAGTGATCTCTATGAGATAAACAGCGATGCTTATGAGGATAATGCAACATATGTTCGATTCAAACTTCTTGATGCAGGGTAAGATCTATGAGTTTATATCCATATGTCGTTTGTTTATGCAAAAAAAAAAACAATGTATCGTTTTAGTTTTATGACATCTAAACTGGAAGAACGTTTTGTTCTATTTTAATCAATTAGGAGAGATTGTGTATTGCCATGTATCGCCCGTGGGAATTTGGCTAAGAATCTGCATAGTGTTTATCGGCGTAATCAAAGTGAATCAGTGGTGTTTGTGCTGAGGTTTGGGAAGATGACTAATGGTCAAGGTAGGTATTTATTCCTTTTTTAGTATTTTAGAATAGCTAATCTTGCATTCTTCTAATTCTGATTCGTAAAATTAATGATAGGTGTTGATAAGAATTCGGTTGTCCTATGCTCTTACCCTCCTTGCTCTGATTTCCTGTGTAATCCTGTTGATGACGAGATTGACGATTTCAGGGCTAAGTAAGTATTAAATTTAATTTTTTTTTATTGACATATTTTGTTAGTTGATTTTTAGATATATTGATCTAACATATCGATTTTTTTTTTGTAGGCGATACCGCCTTAACTAATGCACCATCGATGGAATGTCAATTCTTTATCTTTCTTTTTAATGTTTGTAAAACTATTATATTATGATACTTATTAAATGATATCGGTTGTTGTTTAATCTACTATTTTGGTTTGACCCTATGCATACTGCATTATGTCTTATTTATATTATGAATGTTATAAATGATATCGTTACATTGTCTTTAGTGTTTAGAATAAATTTGTATATCAATGGTTTTGTAGTGTTTTAAACTATAGTCTACTCATAGGGCTAAGTATTCATTGCGTTTTTGAAAATATATCTGACAACTTCTGATAGATTTGAATAGATGGATATCTATAGTTTTTGATATATGTATATGTATAATATTTTGTAGATGTATATCTCCAATATACAATAAACTTAACATTTTTGATTATATATATATAATATTAATGCCTAAACCGCATGTAAACGATAAACGATTGTGTCTTAATCGATTGGAGTGTAAATAAAATAAAGGAATGGATAATCAGGCATATGTCATTATTCTTAATAATGTTCTGATTTGATTCTAAATCTGTTTGATGTAAATGATTGATTATGTTACATTTAAATTATATATCATCTGAGCCCAAAATTTGTATACATCTTATGGGCCAAAAAATTTCGTGTTGTAACCAAAATTCGACTCTTCCTTTAACAAATAGATTGTGATGGTCTTGGATGGTCAAGAGGTTAGTCCTATAATTTATTAATATCTCGGTTATTGCCCTGATCTATTAAATTTATTAGTAATTAATAATGTTTTCAATATCAATCATATTGTTAATGTGTTATCTTAATATTTTCTAATTTTATTACGTATAATAATTCTTTCATCTAATTAAGAGTTTTAAAATTCAAAATAACGAGAAAAAAGTCAAATAAAATTGTCAAACAAAATAAATGAAAACATCAAATGAAATTGGTAGATTCAATGGCTAGGGAAAATAGGTGAGTGATCAAAAAAGTAGCCATCTTCAATGTTTTTAAAATCATCAGTGTAGTCAAGCCTGCAAGAACAAGATAAATAACGAGTCGAATATTCAACAATTTTGTTTAGTAAATTTACAAGATGATAACGGTGAACAATGCTTACATAAAATGAGAATTTTCGACTTCAGGAATTGGAGGATCGAACAATATTTCAGAGAATTCTCGACCAGAACAAACACATATTTCATCTGTACAATATAGAAAATTATATTAGCTACAATTGATATAAATATAAATTGATATATGGTTGGTCGATAGAATGAGAAATAACCTCCATATCGACACATCTCCCAAAATCTCAATACACAGAAAACGATTTTGCGATGAGGAGTATTTTTCCATAAGGACTCAAAATGTTCAGCATCTCTACCCCACGCTATGCAATTGATGTCGACACCCCTAAAAATCAGAATTAATATATCATTTTCCTTAACATCGAGAATATGATAGTAAAGATTTATATATGTATTAGTCTTTGTATCAATGGATTCTTACTCAAAATCTCTTATTGTAAATTTTAGAACACTTGAGTTGATTCTCTGATTTCTGATCCAGAATTGGTCTTGACGCTCCAATTGACAAACTTTGATAATACCTCTGATCAAATCAACTAGCATAAAGCAATATATTCATATAATTAAGTAGAGTATTAATTAATCTAATTGAGTATAATTAAATACTAAGAAAACATACCAACGTCTATGTTTTCCATCAGAGATTCGTCAAGGACATTTCTAAAATTAGCAAATGAATACAACTGGTCATCTGATTTAGGCGATGTCTTCTCAACATGAGTATCCTCATCGATACAGATATGGAGACCATTGACTGTAATCCTCGAAGTTCCTATGTGTGGAGTAATTTTGAAGTTACCAATGAAATACCAATCTTTATCACACATCATGCCTTCATAATGGTCTACTAAACGATTCGGAATCGATGCACGTATTCGATCACCCTAGATTTTCAGTTAAAAAATAATGATGGTATTGATAATATATTAAGATTCAGACAATAATATATTAAGATTCAGACAGTATGTTATTTTTGAAGTTATACTTACATGTTCGTCTGCGAATATAAACGATCGCTGAATACCGTGAACACCTAGGCTTTCCTCGACACTCTTGATAACTTGAACACAGATAGAAAATCGATCAGATGTTATACATAAATCAGAAATCATCGTGCAAGGAGACATTTTTTCAAAGATAGATGCAGTTATTCTTAACAATGAATAGAATCTGATTATGAGTAACAAATGGGTACTACTTTAAATTGAAAACCACCGTTACGACAACCAATAGTAGTGTTTGCAATATTTTGAAAAATAACGGTCATATTTACCACCGCTAATTTAGTTGACTATATATGTCATGTTTTGTTATAATTATAATATAATAGTTATGAAAATCAAAAATAGAAAGAACCTCATCAGAATCATTACTAGGTGATAAAATGATATATAATTATGATGATTATTAATATTTATTTTATTGTGATAATAATTGTGATACTAGATTTTTTAGAGGCTTAGACATAGAAATTTTTTTTCTGAAGGAATATTTATTAGATTTTATTTCGTTTATTATATAAAGTACAATTTTTTCTATATTTGATTAATATTAATGGTATAATTTCATTTTATTATTGTAAATAAGTGTTGTTCATCTTAAAAAATGATATATACCGAATGTTTGACAAAAAAATATTATACAATTTAACTATTATTCATAAACTCAAATATAAAAATATTACATGATTTCTTAAATATATAAAACCCGTGCTTGGCAAAAATTGAAAATAAAAATATGATGTTTATGTTACGAGAATTTCAATAATCAAATTATAATAAAGTTTATATAATGATTGTGTCCGCGCGACGCGGGCAGATACCTAGTTTTTTTTTTAATTTGATGTCGATGATTGGGCTATGGAAAAATTAGTTTGTGGTATTGGACGACAAGTTCAAATGTTTGAGTTGTTTGGTCTGCGATTACCAAATTTATGTGGATATTAGTTTAATGTTTCTGTATACTAAGGATTAGTCGCACTTGACATTACACTGCGCAGTAGCAAACAGGAACCAAAGATTAATAGGATAAAGTTGCATTCACACGCTTATAAGTGGAAAAAACAAGAGTTTGAATCACGTTATGCAAGAAAGAGGAAACAAGCGTTTGTGTCCATAGAGAGTTTGATTGTCTAGTTGTCGCTCAAGTTCCTTTGCGGGGCTACACCTAAAAAATGGTGAGAAACAAAAAGGAATACAAAGTGAGGAGTGCAATAAAAGTATACAACACTAGAGATTCTATAACGGGACACAATTAAAAACATACCTTTGAAGCCAGGCGGGTTATCATGACATCAATTTTCGATGCACTTATTTCATTGAATAGAAGCTTCGGGCAGTTTGTTACGCAGACTTTCTGCAGCGCTTTAGAAGAGAGTGGCTTCCAACAGATGCTCTCCAGTTCATCCAAATAATTAAAATCAAGAACTTGTAGCAGTGGAAATGGCTCATCCTTGTCATCCCTAACTTTCTCTTTGCTTATTACTTGTTTCATCTTAGGCGACAATGCGATGCTTAGAGACTCAAGCTTTGCAGCATATATTAGCCATGTCGCATCCCTTAGAAGTAGGCATGAGGATAGTTCTACAGCTGAGAGGTTGTTGAACAATGGATTGCTCGGAGTGGTTTGGTTGGATGATGACGACGCAAGGTCTCCTCTTTTCCATTCCGTGTCTGACTCTATGATATCACAGCCCATCATTTTAAGATTGCGTAGACTTCCCAACGCACCAAAGGTGACTGCAAATGATGCTACTGATACTGTAACTCCTTCGAGATATAGACCCTGTGTCTTCCCTGCCAATTCTTCGCTTCTTAAGAAAGCTTCCAAAACATCAACTTTTCTCACAGTAATGGTCAAAGTGTGTAATCTCTTCAAACCTTTTAAATGCTCCAGTAAGGAGACATCTAAAGAAGCTTTAGAACCATAAAATCGCAAAACCTGCAACTTTAGTAATGTTGATATCAAACTGAGACTGATACTTTGAAGATTGGAAGTGGACTCTAAATCCAAGTGAATCAGCTGAGTCAATTTTGCGAAACCCTCTGGCAAATCCTTTATCATCGTCCCTAATAAGCTGAGATACCGCAAAGCTACCAACTTTGAGATTTCTTTAGGCAAATCGGTGATACTGCGGTTGTGAGAAAGATCTAAAACCACCAGAGTCGACAGGACCTCAAAGAATGTACCAGCAATCTCTACCAGCTTGTTCTTTTGAAGGAACAAGGTTACAAGATGATCCGGATTGGGCAAATCTTCATCGTTTGGTATGCCATTAATCTCATTGTCCATCAGCGACATCTTTGTCACGGCTGTCCAATCCGTGTCGTTAGGCAGATGGCTTAATTTAGCACCTGCTTGCACAACAAATACTTCTCCATTCTCAGGATTTGATTTTGACCTAACCCACAATACCATACCCCGTATCATATCATGCATATACACTTTCTGTTCAGAATCTTGGGACTTGCCATCCTTCAATAGCAAACTTGCCTCAACAAGAGTATCGATTATATTATAGCCTCCGTTGTTATCATTTATGAAACCCTCACCAATCCAATACTCTACCAGCTCATCTTGTTTGATATTATGCGCCTTGGGAAATAAAGCACAATACTGAAAACACTTTGCATCTTCGTCTTTTAAGTCATCATAGCTTAACTTCAAAACTTTAAATAAGTCATCTGTACCTTTCAATTCGCTCGGACGAGAATCCAATTGCTCGGATGCACGACGCCATTGATCGACAGTAGCTTTAGATGCCATTGTCTTTCCAATTACTCGAAGTGCAAGGGGTAAACCACAGCACTTAGCCACAATATTGTTCGCGATATCACGGATTTCGTCAACTTGAACAGTTAGCCTGCTGAATTTGGCATTCAGGTTGAACAAAGCCCTTGCGTCGTCATCCCCCAAAAGATCAACTCTTATCTTCTCATCTGCCATACGTCCACAGACATCCTCAGAACGAGTAGTAAACACGATTTTGTATTCACTCCCCAGCAATGGAATTCCGATTGCAGATAAACTCACTTCCTCCCGTAAGTCGTCTAATAACAGCACGAATCGGGGTCTCTCTTCTCTTAAAACCCTGAGTATTTCACCCTTTTTTTTTGGTTTTTTGTATGTAGACCATTTCTCGTCACAGAGGTGTAATCTTTCCCCGATTGTATCTTGAATCTTCTCAATATCAATTGGAATCTTCTTCTTCTTGTCATCTTCAATATTCCCGACATCTGCATCTTCAGACACTTTAACCCAAATGACAACATCAAATTTACCCTTGACTGTATTATCTTCACCGAACTTGTTGTTAATTACAGTGAGGAGGGTTGTTTTGCCTACGCCTCCCATACCGTAGATTCCCAGGATTTTCTTTCTCTTAAGACTTTCCCAAGTCTTTTCAAACGTCGCACCAAGACCAAATGTTTCCTCGACTCCTCTAATTTCTACCACAGGAGGAAGAGATTGCTTAGTCAAATCTTTAAAATCTTTGGGTTTGGAACAGAGTTCTTCAACTTCATTCAACTTCTTGAAAACCTCCTCGCCAAGGAAGAAGGGTGAGGGCCATCCACAGCAACCAGAAGTTGACAGTCCTTGATGTCCAGCGGAGGCATCCTGAGGGGAAGCATCCTGAGCGGAGGCATCCTGAGCGGAAGCATCCTGAGCGGAAGCAGCATGAACCAGTTGATTGATGTCAGTTTCAATGGTTTCGACTTGTAAAAGCCACCTAGCCACTGTAGGTACCCGTTTCTCACCCTTAAGCTCTCCAGCCTTGACTTGGTTTTCTACCTCATTTCTTATTGCTGTAAGGTCACCCAAGGCCTCCTTCAACGAGACAAGATTATCCTTACAGTTGTACATGTGAACCACCTTTCCAAACAAGCAACTAAACAAACTTCCAGACAATGTTTTGAAAACAGGTATTAAACAATTCTCAACCAACCAGGAAACCATTGTGCTAAGGATTGAGAAAGGAGAAAGAGAATCAAGATGAATGTAGCAAATGTTAAAACTGGAAACAAAAAAAGGATGTGAGAATTAAGGAAAAGCAGTAGAAAATCAGATCTTTGTGCAGGATCATATTGTGTTGACTTTTGAGATTAGCTAGAGATTGGCATGCTCAAATTGGTTTAGTTCGATTAGTTAATTGCAACTTCCGTCCATCTGGATAATAATTAGAAATTGCTTTATTATATGTACTGCACGTCATAATCCAAGAATATGATTAATATAAAAGCTTGTCTTTACCCACCGATTACAGACTGAGAAGGTCAACAAGCTATATAGTTTACACAAATCAGTGTATTTATCGCTTTCGGAAGAAGTCAACATTCAACGCAACGCAAATCAACTCTACCTACAACTACAATTTCTTACGCCCACTAGTTTGTAAGTACGCAGCTCATTTTGCAACCTAACATCACGTTGTCCTTGTCGTTGTTATTCAAATGTAGTTTGCTGTTGAAAGTTTCAGAGCAATATCATTTCCAAGAAGCTACTAGCTAACATCAAAATTACCGTTTTTTTTTTGGTATTTTATTGCAGTTTGGTGTTGAAAGGCTCAAAGAGAGAGAAGTGATCCTAACCAAATATAGTCATAACGATTCCAGGCTCAATTGGGCTGGCCTCAGAGATACTAGTAGTCAGAAGAAGACACATTAGAGTGAAGGTAACTCAAGCCCAAACCGCTAGAGATAGGTTGTTCAGATATACCTGCGTGACCACAAACTTGAGCTCATACTAAGCACAGTGTTCCAATTCCAAGCCAAGACCATCCCTTTCCTCCTCCTAAAGCTCTGTACATCAGAAAGAAAATATTCAAAATAAGCACATTGGGAATCAAGTATTCAAATTAGTATTTATAGAATCAAGATCTAAGCTTAATTTGATGAAACAGAGAAATCGGGAGAAGCTGCGCTGATTACGATGACCAGAGTATGCTCTTGATTAGTTGATTGGTAGTTCCCGCGATTTGTGGTTAGGGTTTCCAATTAAAACATCGCGGAAAAAACGATCATTAGTGAAGAATTTGGGACATCGCATAGAGATTTCAGATTAGGGGAAGAAGAGAAGAAGACGTTTCCTTTTTTTATTTATTCAGAGGGAGTCTAGGGACCTGCGAAAATTAAAACCACTAAACCGGTTCAGTTAAATCTGGTTGCTTAAACCGGTTCAGTTAAATCTGGTTGCTTAAACCGGTTCAGTTAAAATTAAAACCACGTTTCCTTTATGATTTGCTTAAACCGGTTCAGTTAAAATAAAAACCACGTTTCCTTTTTGATTTGCTTAAATCTGGTTGCTGAGACGGGTTAGTTCTGAATTTGCAATATAAACTGTAATGATTTTGGAAAACGAAAAGAAGAAAAAGAGGTAGCCAAATATATCTTCCAAAATTTATCGTCTTTCAGCTCAGAGAGATTTGAGAGGTTAGAGGAGTTGAAAAGTGTGGTCAGGGCTTCAAAATCATGTAAGCTTGTGTTTGAATCAAAATAGTCTTGATTTTTATTCGATTTGATTTTGGAAAGTGTTATTTAGACTAGTATGGTTTTATCCGGTTATTAAGACCGGTTAGTTCTGAATTTTTCAGTACAATAAGGGTGGGACATGGATTATGCAGAAGAGCTATTATTTTTACTATGTACTGAAGCGAATGTTCAATAACAATATACATTACATGAGAACATAAGGATCATCATCATCAACATACCTTCTTCCCTCTATATACACAGACTTGAACCACTTGATTTTTTTTATTCGGTTCGGTTCGATCCGGCTATTAATAAAAATCAGCGGTACAATTGGATTGGGAAGCATCATTATCATCACCATCAACAACGTTGTAATAGAGGGAAGAAGGTCTGCCATCAAAAGTAGAGACAAGTCGATGAGGAGAAAGACCACAGTAACGATGTCTTAATCTCGCCTCACAGATTTCAATTACTCTCTTAAACATTTTGTCTCCTTTTATCATCGGTTGCTCCACAAATTCCACCAATGGCATCCACTAAAAACACACAAAAAAAACAATCATCTAACTATGATTTGGGACAAAGAACGGATTATCCTGTTTAAAAGTGATTCTAATTATGATTACCTTTGCGGCTTTGATCTCAAGATTGTCGATGATGATCTTGTCAGAGAGTGGTTTCAACATACAGATGAAGAACAGATCAGATTTCTCAAACGCAACGTTGTGAGCGTGTCTGAAAGCTATAACCTCTAAGAACTCTGAATCTACCTGAAGAACGCACAACGACAATATATGGTTATTATCTTGCGGATTTTCAAGTTCGGAAAATCAAGAGTTATACTAATGTTCTTTGATTTGATTACCCCTGTTTCTTCCTTGACTTCTCTTACAGCACCAGAGAAAATCTCTTCTGATTCGTTGATAAATCCAGTTGGTAATTTCCATAGACCTGCATTCGATGAAGTACAATACTTTTCTTGCACCACAAGCACCTAATGAGGTCAAAATTTTATCAGATTTTTGATGATTTTCAGGTTATTCGAATCTGTTTTATTCAGTTATATTTTAAAACTGATTTTTATTAAATTTCAGTTTTTCATACCTCTTTATGTCGGTTCAATACAAAGCCTCCAACACCAACTTGATGTGAAGCATTTCCAGGAAGCATACAAGGCTCCTCCTCTGGTATCCAGTAAGTTAACATCACATATCCTTTCTCTGCATGATGATACTCAAATCCTTCCTGCAAAAATCCCAACTTACATTTTAAACAATTTTCTCTGCTTAATCACAAAAACAAGACAAATCCAATTTCTTATTGTTTACCTTTACAGCAACTGGAACTAATTCTGATTGTTCCACAGGTAACTTCAACCAAATTCCCTTCTTTCCCTACAATTATTTTCCACCAATTTAACAAACTGATTAAAGATAACAACTTTTTAGGACTAGGATTTTAGATTCTCTGGTTTTTTTTTTGTTTAAGTTTACCTTTCTTCTCCAATCCGAGAGGGAATTTCGAAGCATAGAAGTGAAAGCGTTGGGGTTTGATGGTAATTTTTCATGATCAACTACTACTCCACCATACTCATCATCATAAGCATCAAGTAATAATTTTTCTTTAACAGAACTGATCAATGTTCTGTTTTTTAGGTTTACTGCATTCATCTTATAACCTAAATCTGCAGTTGTAGCTAAGCTTTCTCCATAAACAAATTGGCTCTTTGTGTTGGAAGCATTTGAAGTTATTGCCCTTGATCCTTCACCTTCTCATCCAAATACAGAACAAAAATACAAATTCAAATGAAATTTAAAATAAATGGAAGGTATCTTGTTGTGAAGACTGAAGAGGAAGCGATGTTAAGGTATTAATCATTTCCTTTTTTTATAAATTATAAATATTAATCATTACCTTTGGAGGAGCAGAACTTTGGAGATATTGTAGCACCAGAAAATGGTTGTCTGATACCGTGCATTAAACCTCTAAAGACAGTAACCTCAGAAATAGAAACAGAATCCATTGGAGATCAAGAAAATCTTGAATTCCTCTCTGTGGGGGAAGAAAACAGTTTTCCAAGAAAGGAATTTGATTAAAGAACTCAGATTTTTTTTCCTATCTTAAACAAGAATGAAGAGGAGAAAGGAAATGATGAAGAAAGAGAAATGTTGTGAGAGTGATTAACAGAGATTTTTTGAGGCACACTTATAATGTGTGGTGTCAAGTCGAGTGGTTAAGTGAGAAATACGAAAAGGAAAGCGAAGAACAGTTTTAATATCTTACATCAAAGACAAAATACACGTGATTTCTTCGAGCTACGATTTCAACCGACCAGAAATTGCCAGCTTAATATACTTTAAAAAAAAAAAGAGTACGGTGAGTCACATATATGTATATAAGTATATTGCTCACAGTAAATGATGTTTAAAGATTTCATACACTTATTAAAATTCGATTAAAATATCTAAAATATACCTTATATACCTTTTCAGTATTTTATCTAGATTTTTGAAAGAGAAATACTCTAAAATAGAACAAAAATTATAGTGAATTGGATGGAGTACTAGTTTGAAACATTTGTCTTTATATTTAAATGAATCATATTGAGTTAATTATTTCAAGAAAACAACAATCATCAATGTTTGGTAAATATACTAGTATCCCAAACTAGGAGTAAGTGGAATTCTGGTTCTTTTTTTTTTTTTTTTTGACGGCAGTTCAATTTGTAATTAAACTGTCTTCTTTATATGCTTATCTTAAAAAAAATACGTGTCCCTGCAGTTGAAAAACCAAATGGCCATATGTCTAGTCCTTAAAATTCCTAAGCTTTGGGATGTAACCCGACGCATTTGTGCCATGTATTTTTATAACTATTAAAAGAGTTATAATACTAACGTAGTGTTGCATAGTAGTAATACTGGTTGTTCATCTTGGTTTGATTTCGTTCGATATTTCAATTCAAATATATATTCAGATGAAAAAAATATATATATATAGTCGAAAAAAAAAAAAAAAAAGGAATCCAAAGTTTGGTATCAGAGAATCTTTCAGCAACTTCAAGAGAGTTGTCTATACGAAGGAATCTTAAGGAGCTCCAAGGATATGGATAAACGGATATATCTAAATGATCCTTCTACTTCATTAGAACGTCTATCTTTTGTTCATGCTCCTTAGTCCTTGCAATCTCGTGCGTTGATTTATGGGTGCGTGTATTTCACGCAATAATCGGCGAGAGTCGGGTAATAAAGCATCGGGTTGTTGCTGGAGCTACGTGGACATGGGCCTTGGTGGGTTAGATTCCTTGGTCTCTTTGTTTTAATTAATAATAAGTTAATTTACATTCATAGATTTTTAGTTTGTAGTTTTGTAGTTTGTACCTTGAATAGGAACAAATAAATAGGATTGTGTAAATTCGTTATTCTGTATATACAATATTTTACATTGGATAACATTTCCCTCTCAGCGGTGGCTCAAGACGGGTGGCTCGGCGGTTGCCTCGCTGGTTTGTCTCAGCTTTTGGCTCCTCCGCCGTCTACGGCATCGGTGTGGCTTGAGATTTTCCGAAGGTGCGTGTGTCCGATTACTTGCGATAGCTCCGCGTTTGTGTATAGTTTTTGGTTTGTGGTAGCTTCGGATGTGATCCGGTGTAGATGGTGGAGCATTACTGGACGTGATTGTTGAGGCGCTGGTTTGCTATTGCGGCTAGTTTGTAGCTGTGGAAGCTGGTTCTCGAGAAAATTCGTTTTTTCGGGAATGATAGTCCGAGGTGATTCTCCGATGGTCCTTGCGGGCTCTCTTGTCAACGGTTGCAGGTTAGTCTGTTACGGAATCCAGAAATTTTGTTAGTTCTCGGAAAAGTTGTAAGCGTTTCTCTCTTGAAGTTTGAGGGCTGGCCTCGTGAAGATGCTTGTGGCAACAAATATGAGAACTCTAGTTCTTCGGAGCTGTGGCAATTACGGGGTGATCTGCGTTTTGGCGTACGACTGCTGCTTTCCCGCCTGGTTTTGTTTCGGTTTTATTTTTAACTCTGCAATCCATTTTCTTATGCTTTCGTTGTTGTTTGCTGTATTTGTTGGATTTGTTAGTAATTTTTTATTTTTGATTTTTCTGCTTTCTTTGTAATCTTTGTAACTTCTATAAAAAAATTTGAAAATTGGTAATATAATTTTAACATGTTTACAAAAAACAAAACTAGCATCGAGATAATGGAGAATTTCTTTAAAAATTATGAGAGAGGCTTTTTCGACTAAATCGCAGAGATAGTATATGGTACTGGTTATGGAAAAAATGATGACGTTTGGAATAACGAAATGCAATAATTGCAAATTATGGAAGACTAGGTGTTTAGCCTGCGCCTTGCGCGGGCCGAAGAGTTTCATTGAAACGTAAAATTTTATTTTACGTCAGAAATCGAAAAGAATTAAATCAACAATTTGATACATACAAAATTAAAATAAAGCTAATCTATGATAATCATTGTTTAACATTAAATACCTTAAAATTAATATTAATAAGTGTATAAAATTAATAAACACAAACTAAAATCAAAATTAATATGAATTATTCATCTTTTTCTCTTTTTATCTTTTAATTTTTTTTTCTCTATCATTTTCTTCTTTCTTTCTTTTTTTCTGTTTTCTTTTTTGTTTTTTTCCTATTTTTTTCTTCTTTATTTTCTATGTATTTTCTTACTTCTTATTTTTCCGGTTTTTCTTTTTCACGTCTTCTTCTTCTTCTCCACATCTTGTTCTTCTTCCTCTCATACATCTTTTGATTTTCTTCTATTCCAGATTTTATTCTCTTTCTTCTTCTTCTTCAATGTTTTATTATTCTCTTTCTTCTTCTTTTTTTCTTTTCCTTTTTCATTGCCATCATCTTCTTTGTTGTCACCGACTTCTTATTCTTCTGGTGTTTTTGGCTTTTACTTCATCTTCATATTCTTCTACTTTCTCTAATTCTTCATCTTTTAAAGTATTCATTCAATTTTTTCTCTTTCCTATCTTCTTCTTCTTCTACTTTGTCTTCTATTTTATTATTTTTCTCCTTCTATGGATTTTTATTCCTCTTCTTCCAATTATCT